ATACGTGTTAGTCTTGCATTTATAAGACCGGCCACGAAGCGACGGGGAGGTATTGAGTAATTGAACTGCAGTCAGAGAGTGTGTAATTGAATTGAGTATTGTTGAAGTCGAGCACGTGAGACGTTTGTTATAGCACGACTGTTGAATTTAAGTGTATCACAAAGTTATATTCGGAAAGAATAAACCAATTTTATTTAAGAAGGGACTTGTGTCGCTAAAGTTTCGTCGGAACGAATTTACGGAAAATTAATTAACAAACGGAGACATAACAGTACCATTATATTCATGATTCAAACCATAAAGATATAAAGTTTTATATTTAAGAACGTAAAAGTTTTCATTTTGTAATCTATTTATATCTGTATTAAGGATTTCTAAAATTGTAATTACGATTGAAACAAAAGGATGAATTTTGAAATGTTCTAATTCAACCGTATTTACCACATTATTTTTATTCTGAAATGTTCTAATTCAACCGTATTTACCACATTATTTTTACTTTGAGATCTATGCAGATTCATGTGAATATGTAGAGGATTAAAAGTTTGTTCCACATATTACATATGACATATATTACATTTTTCAATTTACAAAAGGAATAGTTAGAAGTGGTTGGATGAAAAGAACTATGAGACAGACAAGGGAGGCATCACTTATTATCACATTTTACGACACGTGTAGCCAGAATAAAGAACTATAAACAGCTAGCTAGGCTGAATACAGTTGACACATGATGGATAACTAGTGTCTACAAATTAAATAAAAGAAAATGATAATAGCACATATATAATGAAATGGGCATGTGTGTAAATTAATACAGCACCACACAATGTTCCTTAACATTAATTATTTAGAAAAGCTTAAAGAAGAGAATACATCAGAAGGAAGGATAGCACGATTCTTAGACAGCATATCCAAACCAAATCCAAAATACAATTAAATGTAAATTCAGGTGAGTGAGAAAAAAATTGCAGCCACAATACAAACATCCAACACTGGGGCACAAATTATAAGATGGGTCATTATATAATGTTCCCTGGTTTTTAGAGGTACTGACAGAAGTAAAACCCAAATTGTGTTGGAACTACACCATCTATTCAGTTTAACCTCAACTTCACCTGAACTTAATTTATATATTATATAGATATATATGTTGAAGTGGAGCTAAATGTTGATGTCATTTTGTAATTTTACATTAGAAGAAGAAACTCCGGATCTTTTAACAACCTAAGGCATGCTTAATTATAGATCAATAAACATTTTATGAACAGGGTATGACATTTGGCAAAATAAGAATGTCTCCTGCCAAATGTGATAGGTCAGTGGTCGGCAACTTTTTTGATCGCGGGTCAATTATTTTTTTGGTTGAAAAATTTAGCATTGTGTTGGGTCAGT